CCACTGCACCCGGCTTCTTCTTACACATATTGACTGATGTCTCCTGTCTCCCTGAGACGTATCAAAGCAAGCTGTGCCCTGACTACCTTAGGCACATGTGAGGGCTTCCTGAGGCTGTGTCATGGGTGCATCCTTAAGCTTGAGAAAACAAACTTTCTACACTGACTGAGATCTGTGTCAGGTATTTGGGGTTCATAGCCTCGCCCTCACTGGCCTCCTCCCCACCTCCTGCCCTAGGCACGGCTGGCAGACAAAAACCGGGAGAGCAGCCCACTCCCTGCGGATCTGCCTTTACTGAACAGGCAGAGGAGGTTCTGTGTCACAGCACAGAGGTGGGGTGTAAGCCTGCAGGAGGTTACAGCTGATACCTGAGCTGGGGCTGCCCCAAGGTGGTGGCTTCAGCCTGGGAGGGCCAGAAGACCTCAGGTGAGACCTCAGCAGCCCACATGGAGAGGGAGGGTGGGGAGAGGTTGGGGAGATGACTAGACTCTGATGCACACAGGCTCCTACTTCCATTCAAAGGCATTTCAGTGAGACGCTTAAATCTGCAGTGGAGGGCAAGAGACACGACCCCAGGAGAGAGCAGCTGTGCTTCGAGGCAGTGGGACCAGCTCCCGGTGGGAGACTGAGGTCTTAGTTCTACTCCCAGTTTCACTCCTGATTGGCTGAATGATCTGGAGACCTCCGGGCCCCACGGCTTTCCATCCGCAGAGCAGAGAGAGTGGGTGCGAGGTTTCCAGGTTCCCTCCACTCCGCATCATTGCCAACATTCACCTGTAACCGCGCTCGGACTCCCCTCTGTGCACCTGTCCTGTAGGGGCAGATCTAGGAAGGTACGTTTTTCTGGCTTGGGAGATTTGGGCTGAGCAGTCCAGGGTGGCTGAGGTTTAGAGGGGACAGCAGGGGAAGTACTTCTCCTATTTCTTAAGATCTGGGCTGGACTCTGCTCTTCCCATAGGGATTTACCTGAAGCCCAGGAACACCGTAGATCTGGCTCCCAAATCTGCCTTTGCAAAATTAGAACACTTGGAGAAATCTAACACAGATGACTCCACCTTGCTGCTTTAAAAAATATATATATTGGGCCGGGCGCAGTGGCTCACGCCTGTAATCCCAGCACTTTGGGAGGCCGAGGTGGGTGGATCACGCGGTCAAGAGATCGAGACTATCCTGGTCAACATGGTGAAACCCCATTTCTACTAAAAAATACAAAAATCGGCCAGGCGTGGTGGCTCATGCCTATAATCCCAGCACTTTGGGAGGCCGAGGCGGGTGGATCACCAGGTCAAGAGATCGAGACCATCCTGGTCAACGAGGTGAAACTCCGTCTCTACTAAAAATACAAAAATTAACTGGGCATGGTGGCATGTGCCTGTAATCCCAGATGCTCAGGAGGCTGAGGCAGGAGAATTGCCTGAGCCCAGGAGGCGGAGGTTGCGGTGAGCCGAGATTGCACCATTGCACTCCAGCCTGGGCAACAAGAACGAAACTCTGTCTCAAAAAAAAAAAAAAAAAAAAAAAATCTTTTGGCATACAATTTTTTTTTTTTTGTTACATGGATAATTATATAGAGGTGAATTCTGAGATTTTAGTGCACCCATCATCTGAGTAGTGTTAACTTATGTATAGTTTTTTATCCCTAGAACCCCTCCAGCCTCCTCCCCTTTCTGAGTCTCTGAAATCCATTATATTACTCTGTGTTTATATATTCGTAGCTTAGCTCCCACTCATAAGTGAGAACATACGTTTTTGGGTTTTCCACTCCTGTGTTACCTCACTTAGAATACTGGCCTCCAGGCTGGATGTGGTGACTCATGCCTGTAATCCCTGCACTTTGGGAGGCCAAGGTGGGTAGATCACTTGAGGTCAGGAGTTCAAGACCAGCATGGCCAACATGGCGAAACCCCGTCCCTACTAAAAATACAAAAATTAGCCGGGCGTGGGGGTGAGTCCCTGTAGTCCCAGCTACTAGGGAAGCTGAGGCAGGAGAATCGCTTGACCTGGCAGGCAGAGGTTGCAGTGAGCTGAGATTGTGCCACTGCATTCCAGCCTGGGGACAGTGTATGACCCTGTCTCAAATTAAAAAGAAAAAAATAATAGTGGCCTCCAGCTCCATCCAAGTTGCTGCAAAAGACATTATTTTGCTCCTTTTAGTGGCTGAGTATTCCACTGTGTATGTATACATTCTCTCTATCCACTCATTAGTCTACAGGGACTTAGGTTGGTTCCACATCTTTGCAATTATGAACTGACTGCTATAAACATGTGTGTGCAAGTGTCTTTTTCATATATTGACTTATTTGCCTTTGGGTAATACCCAGCAGTGGGACTGCTGGATATCCATCTTGCTTCTAACCTCACAAACTCACTGCTTTTGCTCTTTCCTGGCCATAGATCAAACTACAATGGGAAAAATTGAGTTAACAATTTAAAGCAAGGATGATAAAAGTCCCTTCCTGAAACTAGCCCCTTCCTTGTTTGGGGACTCAAACTGCCTTTGGAAAACTAATGGAAGTCAACAAGGTTAGAATTGTGGTAGGGGCCTGGATTCTGCTGTGGTATAACCACAGATAAGTGATAACCGGCCATTATTCTTTCTCTCTCTTTCTCTCTCTCTCTCTCTTTTTTTTTAAACAGTCCAGAGGTCTTTTATTTTTTTTTTAACACCTATTATGCCATGAATTCATAGGGCATGGGTTCCAGCAGCTCAGGCTTCTTCCCATTGCTTCTCACAAAGTGTGCTTCCCTGGGTGGAGCAGGCTGGTGCTTCAGTTGGACCCAGGTACCTTTCTCTTTGGCTTCTTTCTTTTTCTGATCATTTTCCTTCACACGTTTTAGGAAGCTATCTCGGCTCTTAGAGTGCTTGATGTGCTCAATACGCACATTAATTCTCTTGGCAAGATTTACAACAACACCAACAGCGTGCTGGGTAACACCATAGACCCTTCCAGTTTTGTCGTGATCACATTTGTGGGGCATTCCTTTTTGAACAGTACCCATTCCCTTGATGTCTACAATATCACCTTTCTTATAAATTCACATATATGTGGCCAAAGGAACAACTCCATGTTTTCTAAAAGGCCTAGAGTACATGTATCGAGTGCCTCTCCTCTTTCCCTTTGTGTTCGTCATTTTGGCAAATTACTGAAGATGGCAGTTCCAGCCGAAAGGAACCAGCCATTATTCTTTAACTTACCTACTGCTCAGGAGTCTGTAGCCAAAGGTCACAAGATAAAGGAACTTCCCCAATTGCTCCTATAGATAACATCACTATTGTAAAACCTAAGATTGGTTTTCAAGATATTTTTCAAACTTTTGCATTCCAGAGAATCTTGACTCATATGGAAGAACAGACTCAGTGGATCCTGTGACCCCCAGCAGAAACTGCATGCAAAGATAGTTCCTGCACTCTTATAGTTTAATCCCCAGCAAACCTGCATGTCCTACTGTGTAGCCACCTGCCCACCAAACTATCCTGAAAAACCCTAGCCTCCAAATTCTCAGAGAGGTTGATTTGAGAAATACCTCCCACTTAGCTGCATGTGATAATTAAACTCTTTCTCTGCTACAACACTCCTGCTCTTCTCATTGTATTGGCTTTTCTGGGCAGCAGGCAAGAACCTGGCTGGGTGATTACTCCCCTGGCTGTCTCTGAACAAGAGGTTGCAGTGGGCACCAGGTAAGTCTGGGTGTGGAGTGAGGACACAAGTATACTCCCAGCTGTTGGAACAGAAGGCTCTGGCTGCAGGTTGGCCTGGCTTTAGTCTCAGGCAGCTGTGGCCAGCAGTGGATCCAGTGGCTGCCATAGGAAGCCTGAGTTCCAGTCCCAGCTCTGCCACCAACCACTCGACCTTGGCCAAGTCTTTTCCTCTCTCTGGGCCTCTTGTCCCTGTTAGTAAAATGTGACGGTTGGACTCGATAATCTCCTAGGTCCTAGCTGCTGTGATCTAAAGATCTAAAGGAACTCAGACTCCACACTTACCATTTCTTTCTTTCTTTTTTTTTTTTTTTTTTGGAGACAGGATCTTGCTCTGTCACCCAGGCTGGAGTGCAGTGGCACAATCTCGGCTCACTGCAACCTCTGCCTCCCTCCCTCACTGCAACCTCTCCCTCCCTCCTGCCTCAGTCCCCTGAGTAGCTGAGATTATAGGCATGCACCAACACGCCCAGCTAATTTTTGTATTTTTAGTAGAGACGGTTTCACCATGTTGGTCAGACTGGTCTCAAACTCCTGACCTCATGATCTGCCTGCCTCAGCTTCCCAAAGCGCTGGGATTACAGGCATGAGCCACTGCTCCTGGCCCACACTTATCATTTCTGTGCCTCGGTTTTCTCATCTCTGAATGGAAACATGTATGTGAGAGAGCCTGGAAGAGAACCACAATCACCCCATCCTGTGTGGGTGGTGCATGCAGCTTGCTTGATGCCCATGCCAGGATTCTGATATAGGCTGGGCTGGGCCAGTAGCCCATCATCCTACAGATGGGAAACTCAGGAGGGCTCCATGGAGCTCTCTGTAGCTGGATGGGAGGGCCAAGGGCATACTTACTGGAGAGCTGGCTGGGCGTGATGGCTCACACCTATAATCCCAGCACTTTGGGAGGCCGATGTGGGTAGATCACCTGCGGTCAGGAGTTAAAGACCAGGCTAGCCAACATGGTGAAACCCCATCTCTGCTAAAAGTACAATACAAAAATTAGCTGGCAGTGATGGTGTATGCCTGTAATCCCAGCTACTTGGTAGGCTGAGGCAAGAGAATTGCTTGGACACAGGAGGCAGAGGTTACAGTGGTCCAAGATTGCACCACTGCACTCCAGCCTGGGTGACAGAGCAAGCCTCCATCTCAAAAAAAGAAAAACAAACAAACAAACAAAACTTACCTGGCAGCTCTGGCTCCTAGGGCCTGTGGGGAGTAGGGAGCTGAGAGCTAGGAGGAGGCTGGGTCATCAGAGCAAGTCTTTTCCAGGATGCAAGGATCATGCTCAGTTGGAGTTTCGGGGATGAGCACCAGCCTCGGGGGCCTGAAGGAAGCCCGTGGAAACCCGTGGCCGTGGCCAAAGGAGCTCATCACCCTGGGCCCAGAAGAATCTGCTCATCGAGTGGTCCTGCAAAGGATTCAAGAGCTTTCTGATTTGGTATGGAGGGAGAGGAAAGATGGGGAGTTGTGAGTCTCGGGTCTTCTGTAGTGGGCAAGAAATAAGGTTTCTGATTCACCATTCTGTAACGCCATTAGGCTGTCTCTCTCAAGGCTCTCTTGTGCTAAAACTAATGGAAAAGCTTGACTTGGGAAACCCTGTGAAGGGCTTCCTAACTCAGCCCTCCTGACTTTTGGTTCTTCCTGCCCTGCCTGCTTCCACCACTTGGGGTTTTACCCAGTGCCAAGCTGTGGCATCCTCCATCTTCAGTCTACAAAGATGACTGCCCGCTTGTCCTCCTGGCTTCCCTGGCTCCCTGGGTTTTAGGGCGGTGCTGCCTCCGTGCATGGCCATGTCTGGACCCGATTGCCACCATCACCGGAGAACCTGTTGGAGGTGCAGACTCTTTGTCCACCCCAGACCGACTGCATGGAGCACACAGTTAACAAAGTCCTGGGGGATTTGCCTGCTGGGACGGCCTGCTCTAGACTCACCCAGTGATTTACCATTTCTCCACCGGTTTCCGGGGCCCCCACCCCACCTCCCCTCAGACTCCCTTAGGACACAGAGTCTCAGCTCTCTTACCTTCTTCACCACCCGCTCCCTGCCAGTCAGGGGACCCTTTTCCTGGTCTGAGGGAGGGCCTTCTATCAGTATCACTGTGACATTCTTCTTGCACCAAGGGCTAAGCTTCCCAAAGGCTAAGGGCTCTTCTCCCAAGGGCTAAGCTTCCCAAAGAAGGCCAGGAAGTCTTACAGCCACCTCCTGCCTGTCCACATCTCTCTCCCAGGGACATGAGAGAGCCAGACATGGGCATCAATGAGGAAGAGAAGAAGAGAGAAAATTAGAGGGAAAAACAGATACCTCAAAATATCCTGACCCACAGGTGTCACCTGAAGCTAGCTGTTCATTGTTGGGATTGAATCTCAACTGTGCTGCTGTCCAGCAGTAAGAACTTGGGTGAGGCTCTCCAGCCCTCTGTACCTCAGTGGCTGCATCTGTGCAATGGGAATGATTTATATAGTACCTCCTTCCCTTCCCCCAGCACAGTGGGTGGCTCACGAAAGTTAATTAATGAGCTCACGCTGCATGAGTCCACGACTTTTTCTCTGTGGCTCAGTTGGATGGAAGCTCCACAGGGATGGGGATTTTGGGTCCGTTTTCTTCACTGCTCTTTTCCCAGTACCCAGACTAGTGTATGGCACAGAGTAGGTGCTGGATGACCCTGTTGAATCATTGTACAACAAGTAGCCTGGAGCTGCCCCAGCCCAGCAGGCTCTTCTCTCCTCTGAGAACCGTGGCACACATCGCAAGGCAGAATATAACAGTGTCAAGCGTGGTCTCCCTAGACTTAGGAGACCTGGGTTCAGACCCTGTCTTTACCATCCTCTTGCTGTAGGACCTTGAGCCAGTGACCACCTTTCTGAGCCTTTCCTTCTCCATCTCTAAAACAAGGATAACAGCAGCTGTTACTTCATAGAGCTGTTGTGAGGATTAAAGGAAATAATCCACCCCTCAGCCTTGTCTCCCTGTCTCCCTGTCCTGTAGGACCAGCGAGATCCCTTCGTGCTGACCGATCTGGACATGCCGGTCAGCCGCCATCGGGCCTTCTGCGAAGGCCTGCCACGGGTCTCGCCCTTCCATGCAGTGAAGTGCAACAACAGCCCTTGGGTGCTGCGTGTCCTGGCCACCCTGGGCACCGGCTTCGACTGTGCCAGCCAGGTGAGCCTGTGCCTGTGGAGGAGTAGGCCAGGCCAGCGGGAAGGGGGTGAATCCCTGCTGCTGCTGTGGTCATGAATAAATATCCCTTGGCCCTCGGAGCACTTGAAATGCACTAAGCACACTGCTGGGGCCTTACATGCCTTCTCCCTGATCCTCTCATCTGCTCTGAGAGGTAGCCAGGGGACCCCCATTTCATAGAGGAGGCAACAGCCTTAGGTGGATCACTTGCCCATGGGCTAACATATGGTAAGAGACAGAACATCTTGGGGGTGGGGGGGCTAAAAAAATTAAAATAAATGAAATTAAATTAAAAAAAAAAAGACAGAGACAGCTGATCCAAAGCCGGCGTTTCTTTCGTACCCTGGGGTGCAACATTCCGAGGGGTTCTTGGCAGAAGGGGATTCAGCCGTGGTGAGGGAAGTTAGAGCAGAAGCCAAGCGGGGAAGGGGAGAACTTCTCGGGTTTGGAGTATTTCACTGAGCCTCCCTCCCTCCTTCCTTCCTTTCTTTTTAAGACTAGTCAAATGTAGTAGTAAGAAGTGGGGAAGAGCAGAACAAGGTGGTCATCTGGAACTGACTGTGAACGATCAGCTGAGAGAACCCTCTGCCTTCAGACCAGCCCTTCCTCTCTTGCCAGGAGCCCTCCGCTAAGCAGGATTAAGCCGCCTCTAGGAAGCCACCTCATCTCTGCATGGGGCTGAAATGATCGGAGGGGGTTGGTTCTAAGCTGAGACTATCAGCACCTGGAGTGCCCGGCACATTGAGACTGTCAGCCCTGCGCTGCCCAGCAAGGACTCCATAATGAGCACCCCATCAGCCCCACCCAGGGCTCCTCCCTGAAAGTGAGGGAGCAGGGGGTGGGTCCCCACCTGGGGTTCCATCAGGGCAGCCTCTTTGGCTCATGCACACTTTTCCTATCCCCACATAGTTGGGGGTGGGCAGTGAGGCAGCCCCCAACCCTGGCTCTTGGCCACTCCAGGTGGAGCTGGAGCAGGTGCTGGGCCTGGGCGTGGCCCCCTCTCGCATCGTCTGTGCCAACCCCTGCAAGCCTGCCTCCCACATCCGGTATGCTGCCCACCACGGGGTGCAGCTCCTGACCTTCAACAGCGAGGAGGAGTTGACCAAGGTGGCCCAGCACCACCCCGGGGCCAGGTGAGACCAGCAGGGGTGCAGGTAGGTGGGGCAAGGGTCAGCAGTAAAGAATGAATCACCCAGCACAGCACACCCCTGACAAATGCTGGCCTGAGATAAGCCAGGGGAGGACCCTCAAGGCCCAGCCAGTTTAAGAGGGTCTGGCAGCTGCCTTTGGAGTGAGGCAGCCCAGGTTCAAATCCTGGAATGGTTGCTTCCCTGCATTGGGCAAGTCTCTCTCTCTCTCTCTCTCTCTCTCTCTCTCTCTGTTTTTTTTTTGAGACAGAGTGTTGCTCTTGTTGCCCAGGCTGGAGTGCAATGGCGCGATCTCAGCTCAAAGCGACCTCTGCCTCCCAGTTCAAGTGATTCTTCATGCTTTATGTGTGACCGTGCCTCCCAAGTAGCTGGGATTACAGGCCTGAGCCACCACGCTCGGCTAATTTTTTACATTTTTAGTAGAGACAGGGTTTCACTATGTAGGCCAGGCTGGTCTCAAACTCTGACCTCAGGTGATCCACCCGCCTCAACCTCCAAAAGTTCTGGGATGGCAGGCGTGAGCCACTGTGCCCAGCCTGGGCAAGTCTCTTTTAACCTCTCTAACACTCAGTTCCTTCATTTACAACATGGGGACAAGTTGCCTGGTACATAGTAGGTGCTTACCAACACCATATCAGTTTTTCACACTCCCTTCTCTGGGTGTCCCTGGAGAAAAGTAGATGTATACACAAGTGCATGGGGCTAATTTATGGCCACATGGATTTGGTGGCATTGGAAAACCTCCCAGATCTGGGGATCAGCTGGGCCCGGTTGGGGCTGGAGATATGAGAAGGCCTGGGCCCCTTGGCATCTCTGGTTAAGTGATCTCTATCCCGGTGTCCCTCCTCCAGGCTGCTTCTCCAGCTGAGGACTCGGGACAGCCAGAGCATCTTCCCCCTGAGCACCAAGTACAGGGCCAGCCTGGAGGCATGTGGGCACCTGCTTGCGTCTGCCAGAGACCTGGGGTTGGCCGTGGTCGGAGCCAGGTGAGTGACGCCTGAGGACTCCAGGAGCCCTGGGTTCTGGTCCATTGCTGGGGCCCATGGCAAACCGTGGCCCCTCTCTAGGCCTGTGGGACCCCATCCGTCAAAAGGGGCAGGATATGATGTGAAGGTTTCTCAGGGCCTCCCTGCTCTGGGGCCCTAGGGTTTGAGGTTTTGCTGTGAAGTATCCATGAGCGGAAGGGATGCCTGCGTGGCAGTGCTGGGATCCCGGGCTCCGTGGCAGTGTGTGTCTGAGGGTGTGTACGTGTGAATACTCGGGGTGAGTGCCCCTTTGTGGGTGCCTCATCGGCCTGAGTGCGCAGGTGTCTGAAAGCACACTTATGCCAGTGGGATCAGTTATCTTTCCAGCTGTCTGTTTCTGCATTTGGCCCCAGTGGCTTCATGCCTTATGTGTGACTGTGCCTCTCTGTTTGTGGCGGTTATCCACAGTTCGTGTGGCTTTGTGGTTCTGAACATGTTTTTCTGTACATATCTCTCACCATGTCACATGCACTGGCTATGCTAGCTTCCACGTGGGCTCCGACTGCCAGACACCCCAGAGCTTCACACAGGCCATCGCTGACTGCCGGCGCGTTTTTGAGATGGGCCGCAGGGCTGGGCATGATATGAACCACCTGGACATTGGAGGGGGCTTCCCTGGAATGGAGGGCTCCGGGCCCAGGTTTGAGGAGGTGAGCTAGCAAGGGCACTGGGGGTGTTCAGGGAGGTCCACCTGTGTGCCCAGGCATGTGTGTGTGGAGGGGTCTGTGCGTATGCATGTATCTCTGTGTGTGGCGGTCTCTCTGGTGTGTCTCTGGGTGTGCTTTGTCTGTGAGCACAGGTGGGTATGTGCGTATGTGCATGTCTTGGCTTTCATATCCCCCAAAAGTAGACTGTCAGACAAACACATGGATGCAAGTCGTTTTTTTGGAGATGATCAGTGGAAGCACCAATGAGGAAGTCAGGAAAGTGAGACAGAGGGAGAAAAGTCAGAAGAGGATTCATCTATGAGCTGGTTACCAGTGTGCGCCCCTGCATCCATCCCCCTGGGGACAATGCAGAACCTCAGAATCATCCCACTAGGGGACAGGGGGCTGGGTCCTTTATTCACCAACTCCTGTCCCTCTTTGGTTGAAGGCTGTGGTCTGGGGGTGTTAATTTCCCCACATTCCAGCTAGTTTCCAAGGGTGCTGGAGACAGCCCACAGGAAGAGAAACAATGCAGGCACTGGAGGCTAGAAATCACCTTGCACAGGGCAGGTGAGCTCAGGTAGGCTTAGAGGAGGTGGCACAGGGTGTCCACTGCAGCTGCAGCAAGGTGCTGGGGGCTGTCCCTCTCTGTGTGCCTGTATATGTATATGTTTTCCTGTAGAATTGTTAGCATCACCAATATAGTTGAGAGTTTACATTCCCTGGGTCCACAAGATACCTGTCTTCTTACTGTGCGTCGGATTAAATCACTGCACCTTTGAACTTCTCAGGGAGCCCGGTGGCCCTGCTCTTTCAGCCCCTACACCTACCATGCAGCCCACACAAGTGACCTCCTGTCTCCCAGCTTCTGTTCCCTCTTTGGTAAACAGGGATAATTCTAACACCTACCCTGCAGGGTGCCTCGGGGATGAAAGGTAAGGTGCTGGCACAGGCCCTGGCACATCAACACGTTTTGGATGAGTTCACCTCCTCCTGCCGTCCCTCTACCCCATTCCAGCTGGCGAGAGTGATCAGTGCTGCCCTGGCCCAGGACTTCCCTGAGGAGTGTGGCATCAAGGTCATCGCAGAACCTGGCCCGCTTCTATGTGGAGTCTGTCTGCACTACCGTGTCAACATCATTGCCAAGAAGGCTGTGCTGGAGCCTGGTGGGTGGGCCAGGATGGCACTGGGTGGGAAGGCCACTGTCTAGGCGTCCCCAGGCCCTAGGGGAGAGGAAGGGCAGAGGGTTGGGCTCTGTCTCAGGGGCTGGGGGTCAGAGTAGTGACTGAACACTCTCTGGACCTGTCCTTTCCCTGCTTTCAGGAGGCAGCCGGAAGCTGGTGTATTGTCTCAATGATGGCCACTATGGCTCCTTCCGTATCTGCCAACGAGAGCCTGTCCCGAGTGTTCCCATGGTGGTGAAGGTAAGGGGGCCACGCCAGCCCCAAGAGTCTAGTCCTTTACCTCGACATGGCTTGTGCCTCCCAGACTGGGAACAGTGGCTGTGCTGGACCCCAGAGGCAGGGCTTTGCCTGCTGCTTAGAGCACACGTGGGCACATGCATGGTGTGTTGCCCACAGGTCAGAGCATGTGCAGCAGCTGGATATGTGGGCCTTGTCAGGCAAAGGGACCATCACCAGAACAAAAAAGCATGGCTGTTTTCCAAAATATTCAAGTTCTTCTTCCTGGTGGTTCAAGAGTCATTCCCGAGTCCCTCAAGGGCCTTACCCCCAGCACTCGTGCTGCTCAGTCCCTTCCATGATCTGGCAACAAAGCTGTGATACCTGACCCTGTAGGGCCAACAGGGTCTTCCTCCAGCTCCGGGGCAGGTGTGTCTCCTGATGCGATGGGTTGGTGTCCGGGCCACTCTGCTTTGTAAATATCTTGACTTTCTCCTGGCCAGTGAACATCTTGGTGTGTGCACGTTTGGTCATGTATGTGACGTGTGTCTGCATGCACATGTGAGTGTGTATCTGTGTGTGGTGTTTCTGGGTGTGTGTCTTTGTGTGTGTATTTGCCTCTCTTCCCATCGCAGGGAGTGAGTACTGGATGTGGAAGAACCAATAGGAGACCCTGGAATAGTTTTCAATTTTAGTTGCCTATATTTAAAAACTTAGACATATTTCATAAAAGTCTGGATTTTCTCAGCTCCTCTCAAAGGTTTAGATATTCGATGTTACAGGACTTGCAGAACAACAAGGCAACAAATATTTCAACAAATTAGACTAGCATGTTGGGCACGTGATGCCGTCTGCTGGAACGGGACTTCCACTAGATAGAGGCCTCCCCAGCCAATGTCTTTTCCTTTGGACAGTCATTGACTTTCCAGTTTGTTTTAAGACTTACCTGGCCCATTTCACTCCTTTGTGCTACCTGTTGACCCCTAGGTAATTGACTTTTCAACTGCTCCCTTATAGCAATTATTGAAGACGATAGTCCCATTTACAGAGGAGGAAACTGAGGCCTTATTTGTAGGCACATCAGACCCGGCCCAGGCTGGGCAGGGGCCACGGAGGGATGGATCCCAGCCAGTGTACACCCGTGTGTCCCTGGGAGTGCCCTTCCGGGTCTTTCAATGGCTTCCAGGTAAGGGGGTGGGATAGGCCAGCGTGCTGTCTTTTCTGACCCCCTCTCCTACGTCACACAGGAGTTTTGCTCAGAGCCGCCCTCTTCCCCTGCACCCTCTATGGCCCCACGTGTGACGCCTTTGACAGGCTCTTCTTGGAGGATGTGTGGCTGCCTGAGCTGGACGTAGGCGATTGGCTGGTCTTCCCCTCCATGGGTGCCTACACGTCTTCCCTGAGCTCCAGCTTCAATGGCTTCCTGCCCACCACCATATTCTACGCCATTGGCCCCCAGCTCAGGTGCCTGGGGGTTGGGGTTGAAGAGGAAGCAGGGAACCTCACACTCACTGGAGCCTGGGGTGGGAACTGGTCCCAAGGACTCTCCCTTCCCATTGACTCACTGAAGTCAAAGGGTCCATCTGACCTTTAGACTCTGATCTGCCTCTGGGCCCCCTCCCAGGGAGGTGGAGATCTGCAAAGCTGAAGCCTCTATTCAAGCAGAATTGGTGGCAGGAGACTCCTGGGCCCTCTACCCACTGTCTGGCCTCGCTCCTGCTTTAGCTGTCCACTGCCCCAGCTCTGCCTCCAGGCCCCAGCTCTGCTGCTGTGTGTGCAGCCTCAGGGCTGTAGACAAAGGGCCTTGATACCCACCCTGCATCCCATGCCCTTTCCCCAGGAGCCTTCTGGAGGCAGAGCCTTAACCCAGAGCCGGCCAGGCTGGAGGACTTTCAGACACTCTGGTAGGTAGGCCCCTGGGAACTGTTGGGAGTCAGGATGTCAAGGAGGAGGCAGAGGTTTGGGTAACTCTGAAATCCTATGTGGAATTTCCAAAAACATCTTGCTGTCATTTTGGGTCAGTTCTTTCCTCTTCTCTCTTCTGCTTACCTGCCTGCCTGCCTTTCTTCCTTCTCTCCTTCCTTTCTTCCTTTCTTCCCTCCTTCCCTCTTTCCTTCCTTCCTTCCTTCCTTCTTTCCCTTTCCCTTTCTTTTTCTCTTTCTCTCCTTTCTTTTTGAGACAGAGTGTTACTTTGTCACCCAGGCTGGAGTGCAGTGGCACAATCTCAACTCACTGCAGCCTCAACCTCCCAGGGTTTAGGTGCCTCCTGAGTAGCTGGGACTATAGGCATGCACCACCACACCCAGCTAATTTTTGTATTTTGGGTAGAGATGAGGTTTCACCATTTTGCCCAGGCTTGTCTCAAACTTCTGGGCTCAAGTGATCCGCCTGCCTCAGTCTCCCAAAGTGCTGGGGTTCCAGGCATGAGCCACCGCATGCCTGTGGCTTTGGTCAGGTCTTTTTTTTTTTTTTTTTTTTGAGACGGAGTTTCGCCCTTGTTACCCAGGCTGGAGTGCAATGGCGCGATCTCGGCTCACCGCAACCTCCGCCTCCTGGGTTCAGGCAATTCTCCTGCCTCAGCCTCCTGAGTAGCTGGGATTACAGGCACGCACCACCATGCCCAGCTAATTTTTTGCACTTTTAGTAGAGACGGGGTTTCACCATGTTGACCAGGATGGTCTCGATCTCTCGACCTCGTGATCCACCCGCCTCGGCCTCCCAAAGTGCTGGGATTACAGGCTTGAGCCACCGCGCCCGGCGCTGGTCAGGTCTTACACTGAGTTTTCTCAGCAGCAGCCTGCCCTGCCCACCCTTCTTATTTTCTTCCCCATCCCTCTTTTCCCACCCTCTTGAGCAGTGGTTGAAGGGGACACATTAGAAGCTACTTCCTCGCAGAGTGACAACAAAAGAATGGGCTATTGATCTTTTATGTCAAATAATGCAGCCCACATACCTGCTCAATTCATACCTAACTGGTGTCGGTTTACATCCTTAAATTCATCCCACCACTCCTCCCACTTTCTATTTACTCATGCCCTTGCCTTGTCCCAGAAAGGGTTTCTATGAAATGCATCAACATATCATAGTGGTTAAGAGCATGTCATTGGAATAAGTGAAAACTGGGCTCAAATTGAGGCACCACTGCCACTAGCTGTGAACTTGGGCAGGTTAGCTAACTTGGTTGAACTCTAGTTTTCCTTGTAAAATGGTGGTAAGAATAACAGCTTCCCCATAGGGTTGCTGGGATTAAGAGAGGGATAAACATGTCATTTAGGGTCCACTTCCCCCCAACCTGAGATGGAGTTTCTTTCGCTCTTGTTGTCTCACTTGGAGTGCAATGGCACCATCTCAGCTCACTGCAACCTCCGCCTCCTGGCTTCAGGCAATCCTCCTGCCTCAACCTCACAAGTAGCTGGGATTACAGGCATGCACCACCACGCCTGGCTGATTTTTGCATTTTTAGTATAGACAGGGTTTCACCATCTTGGTCAGGCTGGTCTTGAACTCCTGACCTCAGGTGATCCACCCACCTTGGCTTCCCAAAGTGCTGGGATTACAGGTTTAAGCCACCATGCACAGCCTAGAGTCAGCTTTCCCTTCAGCCACCTTGTTCTTGCTGGCTCTCCTCCTGGAGTTCAGATGTCGAAGAGACCCTACCCTGAGTCCTGGGCCTTTTCATAGAGTGTTTGTAGGGTGTCCCATTCAGGCCAAGCCAAGACGTGTACCCGATTCTATGGGGACAGGTGAGGCAGGTGCAGACCCAGTTCTCAAGAAGTCCTGAGGCCTGTGGAAAGCTAAAGGCAGGTGCAGCTGGCTGCAGCACAGGGAGGAACATGGGACATATTTGAGGACAGTTCAGAGGAAAGCCATCCATTTGGAAGACTGGGTGGCTTCTTGGAGGGAGAGTGGGGGGACCTGGAGGGAGAGCAGAATCAGTAGGTAAAAGCGGGCAGGAAACGTGGCTCAGCTGTGGGAGCAACTTGGCCCAGGCATGGGAATGAGCCTCTGCTCAGAGAACAGTGAGTGGCCAGGATTGGAGATGAGGAACAGAGATTGCAGAGCCAGGTGACTGGTTTGCCTGGATTTGTCTGGGATATTTCTGGTGCTGGTGCTGTAAGTCCTGAGTCCTAGGAAACTGCCCAGTCTCAGGCAAACCAGATGTTTGGGGAGGGAGGGGAGGAGCAGAGGCAGGGCCCTATCATATCCCAAGGCCACATTCCCGCAGCAAGTGAGTTCAGCTACTGATTTCTCAGCTTCCAACTCAGGGAAGATGCCTTCCCTGCCTTCAGCAGGACGTCTCCCACCCTCTCTGCTACCACTCAACTCAGCCAGGTCTTCAGTGTTCCGAGTCTCTGGAGCTGAAGAGGAATTTCCCCTGACACCTGGGAAGCAAAGGGCATTTTGGGGTAACAGAGGCCAGAGAAGCTAGAGAAGCTCAACAGCCCATCCAATCAGGTGCATCTTATTAGGGCATCCCAGAATATCAAATTCCCTGCCTGCAAAATGGTCTTGGTTATACTCAAATGCTCAGGAAATAAGAAGCACAGATTATGGGTGGGATACTTAGGAGCATGCGCAGGCTTTGGGAAATGTGAATTATATCCAGATGGAAGACATTCCAGTTTTCTTTGCCCCTTGAGGGTGGGAGATGGTAAGTGGGTCTGGGTATGTAAATCGCAGGCCTCCAGGTCTAACCAACCAGTGACAGACCATGAACAAGACGATGTTTGTGGTTTATGATCCATAAGAAGAAGCCTCCATCACTTGAATCACGGGGTATTAAAAACAAACAAACAACTAGAAAACACTGGGAATCTGGAGCAGTGTCACACGTCTGTTGTCATCTCCCACCTCTGCCAGTCCTCGGCTGCTGGACCACTGCAGCTCCAGGCACCACAAGGGCCTCCCTCAGCCCCCATCTCCTAACAGTGTCCTCCAGGCCTCTCCAGGTGTTCCTAAGGCCACCACCTTGTGGGAAGATGCACTCCCCTGATGCTGACACTGACACTGTCAGAATGGCTGGCTGCCTGGCCCCTTTGCTGCCTCTGCATGAACCACCAGTTCCCAGGCAGGAGCCCAGGGTCACCCCCTACTACCACTGCTCCTTCACAGGAGGCCCTCTATGGCCACTGTTGGAAGCACTGCCAGGAGCTAAATGGCTGCTGCCTTCTTCCCATCTTCTTTTCTGGCATGAGTACTTACCATTAGCAGAATGTCATGGAAACCCAACTGGCAAGGGAATCTGGGAAATGTAGTTTGTAGGCTTCCAGTCTGGTGGCACAGAGGAGGATATGGAAAGGCAAGCAAGAGTGAGTATGGGGCTCAGTAGAATAGATTATATCTGGCAGAGGGAGATGGACAAGAAAGAGGTAATTAGGATTCATAGTTTTTAAACTGGCCCAATTGTCCCATTGAACTAATGTTTTTGGTTTATTTTGAATAAACATAGAAATTGACCCTCCCAGTCTTGAAATGAGAACATTACATTTGTCTTATCTGAGTTCCTTTCTCAGGAAACCAACCATCCAGGCTCCCAGATGGCATCAAGGAGGTGAAACTCACCAGACCTCTCACTTGTTGATGGCCTAACTGACCAGCTACTTCTGTTGATCAGCTTCTCTTCCTTAACCCTTTCTAATTCCTGTTTTATTTTTAACATGGTTACATTTCTTCTTTGCTATATAAACCTCTGATTTTATTGGATTTGAGACTGATCACCCATCTCCTTGGCTGCAGCACCCAATTAAAGCCTTCCATGGCAATTCTTGTCTCAGTGTTTGGCTTCTGTGCAGAAAGCAGAAAGACCTAGAGAGAACTCCTGGTGTTTTGGTAACAGTTTCTGTACAATGACAGAGAAGATAACCTGAAAATCTTCTCAACAACAAAACCTGGATTTGCCAGACAATATGTAACCAAATTCCCTTTAGATGCATTGCAGTTCCACACAACTGCCCCACCCCCCACTTCAGATGCCAATCACAAGTCCCTGGTTGTGTTACCCATGCTTCTGCCCGACTGGTTATAAATTGGAGTTCCCATGATCCCCTTCCTGGGTTAGACTAATTTGAACTCAGGGAAGCACTTCTGCTTGCCAGTTCATTATAAAGAATACTACAAGCTAGGCATGGCGGCTCACGCCTGTAATCCCAGCACTTTGGGAGGCTGAGGCAGGTGGAGTCACCTGAGGTAGAGTTCGAGACCAGCCTGGCCAACATGGTGAAACCTTGCCTCTACTAAAAATACAAAAATTAGCCAAGCATGGTGACAGACACCTGTAATTCCAGCTACTCAGGAGGCTGGGGCAGGAGAATCACTTAAACCCGGGAGGCAGAGTTTGCAGTGAACTGAGATCGCACCCCTGCACTTCACCTGGGCAACAAGAGTGAAACATTGTCTAAAATAAATAAATAAATAAATAAATAAATAAATAAAATCAGGGATATCACAAATGATACAGATGAAGAGATGGATAGGGCAAAGTATGTGGGAAGGGCTCCGAGCTTCCTTGCCCTCTCTGGGTGCACCAGTCTCCAGGAATCTCCCTGTGCGCAGCTACTTGGAAGCTTTCCGAACTCTGTCCTTTTGGGTTTTTAT